CTACAGACAGCCCGTTTTATGTAGTAAGGAGCCACCCTCACTCTAACCCCCAACCTGGAGGGCCAGGTGACTGAGTTTGTCTGGCCTCTAACCATTGACCAGTCTGGTATGAGTGTGGCTCTGATGCAAAAGTACCACCCAGCATAGTTCAATGGATCATTGAGGCACACAAACCATCGCTCCAGGTTACATTCCAGTCTCATGGCGATAGATCCTGTGGAGCAGAATAGGTTCGTAATTATTATTTGGAACACTGGTAATTCAAGAGGCTTGTTCATATGTTGTGGTGTTCGCCGATATGGTCAACTCTATTGCAGACATTGCGTCGTTATTCGAAGTGACGTAATCTGGCAGGATTGAGAGCAGCCACGTAGCAAGAGTTGGCTTGCATTCTACCAGCTACTGCTACCTGAGAGCTATCAAGCCTTCACTCTGCGTTTCAAATCGAATGGTTACCTCGAATGGTTGCCCAGCTAGGCGAACATTAACAGCATTTTAGCAGAGTGCGTTGGTTATAAAAAATGCGGTTTTCCGAATGGGTGAAAGAACACGATGCAGACTGGCTGGGAAATTGAGGTGGAAAGGTCACTAACTCTGCCATCGCCCCGCATCATGCGAATACGGGTCACGCCACGAAGTCGGCTAATTCGTTCAAAGCATTGAAGCCCAGCAAGCCCCAGCAAATCGATCAAAGCATTTCCGCAGGCAGATATCAGAAGCCGCAGCAACCATCGCAATTCGGTTGTACGAACCAGGGCTGTGCAAGCAGAATTAAATCACTCAGGCGTTGAGTTTAACCTGGCCTGGGTGGACAGCGATTGACCGGTGACTACAGCGGGGATCTCACCGATGGTGACTCTCATCGCGTGCTAGAATTAAGTGGCTCATTGACGACTCGTTATGGCTGTCTACAAATTTTGATTTTCATTTAAGGTCACAAGCCTGATGATGATTTATCAAAAACGCATGTTAGCATTTTCATACAATGAGTTTTATTCAACTCAATATACGGCAAGGATGTGCTTAGAAATAGGAGAGATACGATCCTGTTGACAACGTTCAGAGAAGATATCTTGACATCTTAGATATAAATTATACAATCTATGAAGTATGCACTTGGGAACTTGTGTCGATCTACGTGAATGATGTGCACATTCAAGCCTCAGCAACGCAGAATATAATCTCTATGGTACGCAACAGCAAAACGATATTGTATGCAGCTCGCTCGCGAGCACTGCATTTCAAGACAGCCGTTACACTTTGTGGTACACATAAGGCCTAAACTTTACCCCCCGAGCAAGGGCGTCACGGCGATTATTTCTGCTAAAAGGGGTTAAACCTGCTTGGATGGGTTATTTTGAAGCAATCATTATGTGTACGCGGTAGCAATCAACTTCGAAAGCTTTCGGGTGGGTGGTATTTTCTAGAGGACAACACTCGTTATAAATCAGTTTCATCACTTACGGTCCCAGCAACCAGATTGACTAAGGTTTGCCTCAATGCGAATCGTTGCTCACACTGAGATTGCGCCTCACAAATCAATCACAAAGCGAGTTCTTTAAAACGACCCTTCAATCAGTCGTTAAACATGGTACCAAAAGTTTATTGTTATGACGGAGTGGCTTAGGGTTAGAGGTACAAAAGAACGTCCCTATAGTCCCGAGTTCGAAGCCTGCTATCACTACCTGATGAGAAACTAAGTTCGTAGCTGGTCGTCGGGTGAAATGTTCACGGGTAAATAACAACCAGTATGGCTATACTTCAGTTTCTGCCCCAGTGAGCGGATTGATTAAGGTTCACTTCAAGGCGAATTACAGTCTGCATTGCGATTGTATGTCGCAATCCATTTAAAAATCAAGTAACTCACAGTGACCTCCTAACTAGAAAACAGTGATCGTCTGGCAAACTTGGAGGTTAGAACAGCACTCAGGTTCCCGACCATAATCTGAAGAGATTGGGACGGAGTGAAAAAGGAGGCTTAACGGAGAACTCATTTCAGTCAAACCAATCTTGGCCACAGTATACTCTTTTGCATTTCCGTATAACAGCTAAGTTAAGGCAGCAAAAGCTGTAATGGGGTAGAATTAGGATTTAACCGGGCTGTTCTGAATTCACTACGCCTACCCCACCATACGAAGCTCCATCTATCCAGCCGGACTTACCAATTTTTACTTAATATGAATTCGAGTGCAGATTTAGATTACGTATAGCAATCATTTCATAAAACGAACACTTCAAAATTATCCCCACGTTCATCCTGCTTTCCGAAACTAACAACTTCGAACAGATCTGTTGTTGACTGCGGTGGTACTTCGGGAATAGCTAATATCACTTTTAACTACAGAAACAGCTAGTGTTTTAAACAACTGGCACCTTACAGATACGTTAAGCAACAATGCACTTGGGTGATTCACATCTAGAGACAGTACTGGATGGATATCTGAAGCTCGGTTAACCGAGTTAGACGGAAAAATACAGCCTTCTAACAAGTAAAATCAGAGACACTCATACTTCTTTAAGTGGGATTGTTGGTAAATGTCGAGTCCGTTGGATGAAGAAGAAAACGCGAATTATTTGTAACACACGCACGCTATTCTACATTTTTGTCTCATGAGTCACGGCAATTTCTTGTGCGTCCGACAGCAGTCACGTTTTATCGTCGACAGCTTAACTTTCATTCAAGTTGAATTTAGCGTCAACCCTATGAATGTATATAACATTTTAAGGTATCCCATGTATCAGAATCAGTGGTTCGGTCTGTCGGAGTAAGAAGAAGTGCAGAGTTGCTGACTCCAAACATAGAAGAAGTCAACCAAGAGATAGCGCTTTCGCTGAACAACCTACGTAACATGGTGGTTTATGACGTACGGGGACGACCGTACTAGTTTGTTTCACGCAATATGTCTCAAAGAACTGCCTTCCTGCTAGTAATTACCAATAATTAACAGCCTTTCTAAAGGAGCCAGAGGTGCCCTGTGTTTAGCAACGTTTTCTTGGTTCCATCACAATTGCTTTCAAGCCACTAAATCACATGGGGTTGGGGTGGCTAAGCTCATGTCGGTCTTCATTAGGGCACTCTGATTACTAAGAACAGGCTGAAACTCCGATAGAGGCTTCAGTGGTGCCAGAGTTGCAAAAAGTAAACATGTTAGTTCACCTTAGCTAAGTTACTAAAGTGTACTCAACTACTGGGGAAGTATACTGACAATGTATATCCTTAAATTACATTTTGGAGAGGTGTGTTTCTTCTCCGAAGTCTTTATACGATAACTACCACAGGTACATCGCATCGATTGATATGCATTGGGATTGAGCTGTTCCAACATGTCTATCTAACTTCGCAACAGAAATAATCATAAATAGCCCTTTATTGCCTAGTCTTTCTTCCCCTCAAATCAAATCTCCTTTTAGTGGAGGACTGGCAAATTTGAGTTAGGCAGCTGGCCTAGCTGTCTTCTGGTCATATGCAGCTACTATTCTCTTGTACGCTTTTCCGCTAGGTCTGCGCTTTTAAAGTTCACATTCATGTAATGTGTTTTCCTAAATTTTACTCACTCCATCCCTATCCCGAGACAGCCTTTTGAAATTGCTGATCGTTTACTTATCCTCATAGTAACATCCCCTTTGATGAACACATCAACGAATATGTCACTGTAATTATTGCCAAATTTTGTGCGGTCTATCAAAGACTAAGTCGCGTTTGGAGACCTTATCGTGTCGCAAGCATTACTGCTTGAACTCAAGACCTTTCAAATGCTTGTGGATGTCATTGAACATCCCTATGATTTACCATCTAGACTTGCCCAATATTTTTCACCTTTCGTGATAGAACGGTGTGACCAAATCGAATTTCACCAGTCCCTACTGGTGAATTTGTTGAAATAGAATGGAGCTCATTGGCTGGCTCATATGGTCCACTCACTCTTACGTGGCTACTTGAAATGTCTTTCAACTCTTTATAGTTGCAGGTGGTCGTAGAGGATAGAGCAGAGGGCATGTGAAAAGGGACCATAGACTTGAGTTCAGATGTTGCTTGTTGCTTTCCTGAATGTAGTGCTCGGGACTGCCATTATCGGAAATGGAGCCGTCATAGTGCTACCGCATTCTTCCACCAATCTCTAAATTGTAATCATTCCGTTCAATTTTGCCAGTTGTTTCGCTTTTACATTGAATTAGAATGATTGGTACAGTTCATTTGGCGATATGGGTTAGGGCACTTGGATCCAACGGATCAAAATGCCCTGCAATGAACAATTCGCATCATTGTACAATACAAATGCATTGAATGGATGCGCATAGCTTGCCCCTTTGGAAGGAGGTCGACGGTTCACCTCGTGCCATGTATTGGTTGCTCTTCCCTTTCTGCAAATTCATGCGCACCTACTGTATCAGCACTACAACCAATTACTGCTGCATCAACATTGTCGGTGTCGATTTCAGCTGTCCGGGTAAAATCAATTGAACACCTAGTTCATATTCGGTCTCAGTGCGATTATCACCGCAGCTTTTTATCCCTTCGATCATAGATGTACTTTTGACGATTTAAATTTGTCTTAAATAATTATCCGTAAAAAATTGACGCCCCTGACCTATGTTGTCCGGACCACCACCCTACACCGCCAATGTTGCGCATCTGTGTGGAAGTTAACAACCCGGACTTTTCCCATTCATATTAAGAGCACGATATGACCGACCTATTGCATTATCATAAATAGGGAATGCTACACACCAAATACGCAGGCAGGTGGGGAAACATCGAGCATGTCAGCAACGACATCTGAACTATATATATATATATATATATATATATATATATATATATATATATATATATATATATATATATATATATATATATATATATATATATATATATATATATATGCAATAGACCCGCCCTTTGATGGAGCGACGGACGTCTTAACTACCTACTGCTTGGCTAAAACAGTTTATGTACGCAAAAATATACGTATCAATTTAACCCACGAACAAAGACGCACCTGAGTGGCAATGTATGCGTTTTGTTTCTGATATCCATCCAGGTAGTTAGCGTTGATGTAATCGGAATCGGGATCCAATGGTGATGTCGACTGCAGCACGACACGGGAGTGGTCGTAGGCGATGACGTTAGCGTACCTATTTTTGGGTCGGTTCATCGATCGATTCGAGTGTTCCCATGTGAACTGACCACCTGCATCTATGGATTCGAATTCAGCTGCCATAAGCCGACCGTTGTCAGCTTTCAGTGATCGGACATACTCAACTAGTTGGTCCACTGGTATCAGATGAGAATCACCTAGAGAAAAGGGATCAATATTTGCTTAGGAAGTGCACTCGGTTTGTGTACATTGCCTACACTGGTATACTTGACCTGTAATACAAATTTTGGTAGTAATGTTTTATCATTTGAAAGCATCCGGTTTGAACGATATGTGTTAAACATTCCTCAGACTGCGCTTATGAATGAAAGCTGCGTGAACAGTGGTAAAGACACTATGTCCCTGGCAGTAGACCATGTGTTTCGTTTCAACTCCCTCTTTAACCTAACGCATACAAAGTAAGATTACCGATCCTGAAACTCAGATGAAATGTGCAAATCTGTAGCCAGTAATTTACACGTTGTGTCCCAGCCGAAAGACATTAGGATGAACCTGAACGCCAGTCCTTTAATCGCGTTAGGTGAAATTATTTCACGGTCGTCACAAAATCGAAATATTGCACAATTTGCCCCGATAAGTGTGAGTACTTCCTTGATGATATTGTCAAATTCACATAGATTCATTTTCAATGAACAAAACTCACCAGTTCGTCTCGACTGTGGTCCGGTTACCATTGGGTTAGCACAACTCAGCCCAAGTCCAGACAACAGCTTAGGGCCTGAAATGTGATCAGACTGCACGCTCCCTGAGCCCAATCCAGCGTTACATATCGGATGTAAGGCATAACCGCTCGATAAAGATGGAGTTTCCAAGGGACCAGTTCCAAGAGAAAAAGAATCAATCGGACACAGAGCTCCGGGTTGAGAGCCGTAAAAGGCACCGCCCGTCAATTCGGTTGTGTTTACGCGGACCAATTCCTTAATGCGCAATACGTCTTTTCTCAGACTTCCAAACTGTGGTGTGTTACATACTGCATCCACTGAGCCGGTGTATGATCTGAGCGTACCATTCGGTCTAGGAACACCGCCGATGCTATCGCAACCGAACCCAGTTGAAGCTGCTTCGTTGCAAAGTGGAATCATGAAGCCTGTTTCATAGGGTGGGAGGTTTGCGGTAACAGAACAGCTTCCTGGAGGTGGTCCGTGCATCTCGCTAAAAGTGAAGGCGGAGCGTGCTCGACGTCTAGCACTATGTTTGTTCAGCCGGATCCAACCGAACAAGGCATGTGCCGGAATCGTTGTCCAACGGCTCCGACGGGATCCATCAGACCACTGTTTAGATTCACCCTGGACAAACTCCCAGCCACGTCGGCGATACATAATGTAGAGTAGACATAGTAGTCCTGATGCAAAAAGCAGTATTCCGAGACAGATCATGGAGATCAGAATGGACATGCTCGCCGCTTTTATCTTTCCCTCGGATCGGCCATTGTCCAACAATGATAGGCGTCCAGTTTCAATGTCTGAGGAAACTCCATACTCCAGCAAGTCACTTTGGGGAGATGCCACTGACTGGCGCTTACTGTGATGTATGGGGAAACCTTTGATAAATATAAAAAGTAAGCATCCATTATATACAATAATGTTTCAAGTACGGAGTGCATGTGTGTACTACATCGGTAAAGTAAAATCAACTGTCAAACTACCTAAATTGTTCGCCGTCACGGGTTAGCGGAACAGTTTTTCACGCGACTGAGATCACATCACCAATGATGGTATGATATGCCTCCTTTGAAAAACAATTACAGCAAGTTACACTCCAATGACTGTAGTACGTTATTTACATTGAATTGCTCTACAGACCGGTCGATTAGTGGTTAGTATAGCAACAAGCAACTAGCAGTCGTGGAAGATATCCGTTAATGTACCTGATGGGTATGCAACTATATAACTTGAGACCCACTAATAAGTGCATGCATTTCTATCATGCATTGTGCACATTTTCTTCCTCGTTTGGGATTAACGGCCTTGTCGGCGCCGCAGGCAATAACGCACTTGTATCACGTAAGAACGTATATCGATAGTTGGAGCAGGTGTAGGATGAGCGAAACTGGAAGACCGAAAACGAGCGTTAATCCTCGGAAATATATGTATTTGACGCAACTTGTTAGTTCTCAGGCAAGTACATGAATATAGAAGTTGGAAACAAGCTTAGAAGAATGATGCATCATTAGTTGAAAAATAACTGTCATCTAGAAACATTAGGCTAGATCCATGGATTGTAACTTGAATATAAGCGCACTAATCGGCAAATAATTTAGGGTTGCAAGTGGATATAAAGAGTGTTTTGGACAACAATAAAAGCCTATCCGAATTCGTTCAATTTCAAAGTTATGGAGTGACACAGAGCGGTCTCTTATTTTCATGAACTACAGACACAGGTCCTCCTTGGCTGATGTGTCTAGGAAATGAGTTTTCTGAAAAAACACCAATCGGAGTAAGAATATTCACATAACGGACACGTTTAACAAATACCCAAGACTAGATTTACCAGCGGCTTATCCTGCGCTCATTTTGAACAGATGTTAAAATTGCTAACACGACCAATGTGAAATCCAAAGCTGATTGCTTCCCTGAAGCAATGTACCATCTCAAGTACTTCTTCCATCTTCTTACCTACCTATCAATTCGGTACATTGATACTAAGCACAAAAATGCTGCTCCAAAATCCATAACCATCATGCAGTCTAGCAGTCGTTGGAAGACGGCTGGTCAAATTTTCGTACCATTGTTAGAGTAGCTACAACTTAAAACCAAAGATGAACGTTCGCATTGAAATTAATTATGGTGGCTCTCCTTTTGTTGTTTGCTCGATTCTGGTAAATGTGGTTTGCTTGAGAACGCATAATATGTACTCAAGTTGGATGTTTGCAATCACCAGATGAATCTTCAGCTCGTCAGCCGTTCTCATACCGCGATATTTTATGCAGCGCAGAAGCGATAAGCTGATGGCATGTTCTTTTAATCTCCTTCCAGCAGACCGTTCCTTACTTACGTTTGCAAAGTGTTTGCTTTACAAGCCAATCAGCTTTTAGGACTGGTCTCGTTATTGGACGCAACCAAGATACTAATATTTTTATTCGGCAAAATTCACCCTAATAACCCAATGCATTGTCCTGCGTTGTCATGTAATATCCCAAACCGTCTTCGTTGAGAATGCAGGAGAAGCATAGAGCAAGCAATAGGCTTATCCCACTGCGACATCAACCGCATCAAATCCACAAGCCATAGATTTTTCATGATTGTCATATATGGCCCGGTCGGGCAAGAAGTATATGCTGCACGGATTTGCATCATTGACTGAGACGTTGAAGTCTACCTCGCTAACTAGCTTCGTGTTAAAATGGTGCGTGTCCCTGCGTCATTTTCAACCAACGAGGAGTTATCTTCTCTTTCTGGTCACTTGTAATACATCAAAGCCCCCATTTGATCCATGATTATAAGATGCTGAGCGTCGGACGAAAATGTTTAGTCAAAAGATTCTATGAATTTGATGCCATCAAGAAATGTGTTTTTATACTTAACCACATTATGTTCATGGTCAAAATCTGAAGGTTAAATTGCATTCAAACAATGATATTTTCATTGCGAAATAAGATAGGTTGCATGAAGAAAGCCATTTGTAAATCGACCTTTTGTCATGTGAATGGTTCACCTTTTCAATTGTCCGTGATTTGAATACAACCGCCGTTACCTGGCATTTTGAGCCAGGTAACGCAACTAATGTTATTTGTGCAACTATTAATTGCGGATTGCCCAAAGTAACAAGTTTCAGTTAGTTTCGATTGACCGCGTGGAAGTTCCTGGTAGAACAGAGAGGATCTAATGGCGATAGTCTATACTTCGCAAGCATTTACTCGGATTGGTACTTTCAGCGAAGTTGTGGGCGTCAAAGAGTTAAGATTGACAGTTAGTGGAAACGCAGACATCATCCGGTGAAACTAATCTTTTTCTCCTACATCCGGACAGATGACAACCTAGCGCTTCTATGTTGTGTCCGCTCCGTAGTGTCTGTCATCCACCGACTATAACGCGTCGTGTTGCAACAGGAACGGAAGCTGCGCTCCTAGGTGAATTCAGTCAAAGTATAACTTTTATCCGGATTGTGACCAAAACAAATCACTTTGCAATCGCGTGCACTTAACTGCACAAAACATTTTTCAAAAGCGTATAACTGAGTACTTATCCATGGCTTGATGTCACACCTTCTTCGTCCGGGCTCAAATTCTGCTCAGATCCGATCAGAATTGACAACCAAACACTTGGTATTTGGCCCCTATTTATTATTCTATCTGAATTGTTCATTTGTCTGAAATATAGCCGAGGTATTTACGTTTAGATAATTGCTGTAAGTACAGGTGTGCTTAGCTATATCCTGATTAGGCGTTCGACAGCTCAGTCAGCGCACAGTCGACGCCACTTTCTTTTGACCTACAAACCGTAACGGGCAAACGTAGTGATTTGAGCAGTATAATGATTTACCACTTGTCGTGAGATTTCACTTCGATAGCCTTGTGTCTTTGCAAATATGTTCTAGTTTGGTACGGCGCCAGTTGAAACTTACAATCCTGAAGCGTATTCGTCATGTGCTGTATGAAGAAAACAGTTGTCAGGTACGATGTTACCACAAGCGATTAAAGTGCAATTGGTAACATTTGGATGAGTGTCACGGAGATATGCGAGGAAGAATGCGAATGCTATGTGACGTTAAGGACTAAGTTTGTTACGCAGTTTCCAAGTGAAAATCAGCTCACATCTGTGCTGTTTGTTATTCCCTTAGGAATGTGCGTACTGTGCTTCATGGTTGCTTGCCTTTCGTCCAAACCTGTTCCACTTATACCTATCAAATTCATGTTGGGCATGACTAGGAGTAAGTATACAAGAGGGTGAATTAATTTCGTCTGTTTGAATTTAAGGCAATTGTGACGGGACAACTGTATTTTAAACATAACAATTCTCTACAGCCGTCGGTGCTGCGGGCGTAGTTAGGCGAAGTGGATCGAATCGCTAAGCCATAGCATAAAACTGTTTGGTCATTCCATGAAACTGAGTAAAGGGCACAGTCATCTACAGAGCCACAGACTTTTCGTTTATGTCACCTGTGGAATGCTAGTTCCCAAACAGTAATTTCCTCATCTATATTAACCATATGTAAGAGGTGGTTGGATGATGCAATCAACCAGTTACAACTTCTTACTTAGCACTATCTCTCCACTTTATTCTTGGGATCTACCTTGAACGTATTATTTGCCACTGATTTATATAGTAAAACTACGAGGAGGGTGGGACAATATCATTACAAAAGATGACTTTCATTTGATGGAAAAAGTACTAACTTTTTGCTAACTTATCTGGATGACCCCACCAGACCATCAACGGAATTGTAAATCAATACTAATTAACCGGTGTAAATTCACAGCACATTGTTCCTATTAATGGCGGAGAACTAGCCGGCTGATAGTTGTTAAACGTACTAGTATTGTGGCAGTGAAACCTATGGGCAGCCGATGTTGAATGGAAAGAAAACCATTGCACTCAAAAGAAAGGAGATTAGCGAGACAACATGAAACTTTACGCGCAAGTTAGATGTGATAACGCATAATGGCTAGCATGCAGTATACGTCGAAAGTGATGGAGAAAACTGCGACTAAGCCGATGCAAATGACTAATTACAATGTACCGCTCACCAGGCCCACGTGCAGCTGCATCGTCGGAAGGAGGTTGATTTCTCAGGGGATCTGATGTCTCACTGAACCATAGATCACGGTCCGGATCCACACCAATTTTCTGTCCAACCGCTGGTGCAAGAGGCAATGGAGGAGGAGGTAAATCTGTTGCCACAGGTTGAACCCATAACGACTGTTGACACACTAGTTGAGATCCGAATGTGACCGCAAGTAAAGAATATGAATCCGGGTCAGTCTGGAGTTCAAAAGAATACATCAAAATCGTGAGTGTTGGCATAATGAGATTACCATAGAATTTCGTCATATCATCGACTTAACGGGACCCTGTATAAAGCCATAAACATCGCGTTGATGTCGCCCTCACTACTTTTGTTTCATCTCTCTAAACATCTTGATCAACCAGAAGTCGACAATAGTCATGTGAAACTGGTTGCTTGTTTAGGTTTGTAGCTGCTGAGAGAAAAATTGCTAGATTGATAGCAGGTGTCGCATACGGTTGAATTACTGTGCCACACTGATGTTTGTATGAGAAGTGGGAAATCAGCTTCCCGTGTACACAAAGGCGCAGGTCAGTGAGTAGACGATATGCCCTGTCGTCTGAATCAGTTTGGATGGGAAGAGCTTCGCTTATACCAGTTCGGTCAACCAACTACGCCTTGGTGTTTGTTACTCAAGTGCTAGCAAGATTATAACAAAGTTGTTGACTTAAGTTTGGGTGGCTGTTGCTGCAGAAGAACTATTTTGATCACTGTAAGTTGAAACTAAGTTGCGCCATATTGTGACCGCAGCTTATTCGTGTCTGCCGCTGTAGTCTCCGCCTCCCAGGAAGTTGCAAAAATAGGTCCAAGTGTTGGACAAAATGAACACAAAGAACTCCCGGTGACCCGGTGGTTTAGGGGAAGCGTTCACAACTAATATTCCAGTGGTCCCTGGTTCGATGACTGCCATCTATCTGATGAGAGGAAAAGTGACATAAACGCGTCATAGGAATTCAGTGTTTTCGGGTGGACAATACCCAATTCCTACCTGCTTCAGCAATGGTCCTCGTGATCGAAAGACCTAGGTTCACTAAAATGGGATTGAGATTGCACCTCGTAATGCAATCACACAACGTGTACCAAAAATGACACTCAAAAGTCAATGTCCATTTGTCTTTTGCTTGCGAGTATTTTGTTAATTCTCCAGTTTCACGCGAAGATGACGTATTTCAATCATAAGGTATGTATTACCGACAAATAGGTCTTGGAATCTGAGAAAAACCTAGCGCATCCGCGTCAATTCAAAAGTCAAAACCGGAAGAGCAAAGGTGCCATTTACAAATGGTTGGACAACAATTTAATACCAAACAGTAAACAGTTTCCAGACCAAATGTGCACTATAATTCGGCTCGCCAATGTAAGGTGCCGTCAACAGCAATGGTCAACAGATACGCACAATGAAGGGAAGTGGTTCTAATGTCCAGGTGGTTTAAAGTGAAGTGATCAATCGTCAATGGATCAGCCAAGCGACTGGAAGGAGCAAAGGAGGGAAACGGTTTAAAGTGAATACTTCGAATGAGATAGTTAAGAGTTCGGTCAGAAAAACAAAAGAAGTAGGACGGGACCAGTACAGACTAATGAAGCTGCATGTGTAACTGGTGCGTATAACACGCACAAGAATTAAGACAGAAGGTGGGAGTAGCAAACTTAACCATTGAGAGATGCAAGACGGGCAAACTCTAGTGGTTACTTAAGGTCCAAATGTGAACGAATAACAAATCAACTGAGGTTTAATTATGCAAAGTCCAATAAGCAATCAAGAGTAGTGATTGGTCGTTTTAAGCTCAATCAATAAGGAAAATCTCCAGATAGGTTGAACAACTTATTTTGTCCGTTACAGTACGTGATTCACCTAATCCGCGCGGCACTGTAAATATGTAAAGAACCGGAATTCATGATATCCCTCATTCTCCGTCAAACAGGTTTTGTAGATGTAAGAAGATATTTTGAAATTTACAAGAACATGGGACCAGAGATGAATTATATTTGTAGGGTGATTCCTGCACAAACACATTAGGAAGATAGCAGTGAAGGTGCAATTGATCAGCTCAATTTAAATAAAACAAAACTTGACAGCGAGTTTCGTGAATCGACTGGCAACCTCAGCTAAGACAGTTGCGCTTTCCATCCAACTCAACTGGCCTCGGCGTCTTCCAATTTCGCTGGCTAAGGCAGCTGCAGAGTCTGGAGTAATCACTTTCTTTTTTCTCTAAGTATCCATTCGGAGAGTGATCACTCAGACTGGGCCAACTCTGGATTCGTAAACTGTAAACGATACCTATACAGTTAAGTGTTGCCGGGATTCCCTATCGTCGTAGGGCGTATTAGCAATAGTTGCGCCGAAGTGCCAGAGCAGTAGGGAAAGCAAACCAACACATAGGCCTATTGCCGAGGGCGTTTGGTCGGTTTGATCCCATTTTTTCGGAGATGCTAAACTCTTACCTAAGGCCGCATGTGGAATACACTATCTCGATGTGGCAGAGGTGGAAAAGGGTGATCTCGCTGCTCTTGAGAAAACACAAAGTATAGTGACAACAAAGGTTAGGGGACTGCTCCACCTCCCTGACATGTTGAGACTAAAGATACTACAAGTTTGCAATGATCCATACGGTCTTCTGCGCATTGATCTCATATTGTGTATCAGAACCTCAAGGATCCTAACCACACATCCCGACTCTTATTGAATCCTAGCCACGACACCTTACTGAGAGGCCGCCGTTTGGAATACGACTGGATCATTTTCTCCATTCGTGCATCTCAGTAATGGAAGTTACTTCGCTTTCGGTCATCCCCACTCCTACGTCAGCGGAATTTATAACCCGACTTACGATGGATTAGACCACTTTCATTATATGATTTAACCAAATTAGCTGGGACACAGGACGAGGGGACCAAACAAGGTGTTTAGGTGAAATGAGTTGTAACTTTACCACTACGTGTAATTTTTCGTGAGATATTCGTTCTGATCGCAATCTTCAATTACGGAAACTGTAAAGTGTTGGCTTTTTATCCGTGACAAGTTAATTAATAAATTTTTCCATTGTAAACACAAAGTGCACATTCTTACGATGTGTCAGTTGCTGTATGTATCCATAAGCTTATCCACAAGTGATTACAAATGAGTTCTCTTAAGCAGTTAGCAGTATTGGAATTTTGTACGTTTAATCTTTTCAACAAAGCCATTTGAAATTGCGCCGCCTCATCCTGTGACCTCGGAAGGTAGAAACGGAATATTCCACCAAGGCAGGCGTTGAGGTGTATCAAACTGTTTCATAAGCATTTTTACCTCCAGCAATGAAGCATGCCGACTATCGATCCAGAAGATGAGTATGCCCAAGTGACTATCGGCCTTAGGTCCGTGGCCAATTATTAAGTAGCGTTCGCCAGTTTGAATAACTGTTGAAAATCGTAGAATATATTTCGAAATAATCTAGAATGTGTGAGTTCTGGGAGATCTGTAAACAGTCGCTTGGCGTATCAGTTGGGCAAGGCTTCAGTTTTGACACAACAACTACATTAGTTCAGAAGAATTAGTATACTTTTGGATCAAAGGTCAGAGTGGAGGCAACAGAATTGTTACAGGCACATGTCGGGATGTCATAGCAAGTGTTTCAGCCCCAGTGAGATTAATCCAGGTGTTCCTTTGTGCATTATGTCATTAAGAGATAAACCCATGCTGGCAACGATGGGGCGTTGAGTTGTACTTGATCAGTTGAAGGGCTTTCAGACAATTAGTACTGATTGGCTTAGGTGGTTTGAAAATCAGCTGACCGATGTTGTGTATGAAGTAAAAATCCTCCAAAAATGAAAAGTGTGCGCTTACGAACAACCATCTTCCAGTGCTAGGTGAAATGCGCACTAACGACGTTGTGGTGATGAAAGCGTGTATGGGTTCAGGAGTTACAGTCAATAATAAATACGAGGAGATCAAGAGGAGGAGTCTCACGCACACTGTCACTAACAAATTTAAACGATTTGAGAAAGCGGAGAATGTGACGTTTCTCGAATATTGCCTTGTTCATCACTTAGTTATACTTCTTCAATATGGGGCGGTCGAGATTGTTACGTATGACAGTTTAAATCTGAGTGTATCAACCAGATCGCAAATATACGGGCTTCCAAAAACTGACAAGAGCGGAGTGCCAGTCGGACCGATCATCCCTATGGCACATGCCCGCGAACAGAAACTAGCTCGCTAGTTGATGAAAGTGATTTCACTGCTGAAAGTTCAGTTTAATGTATGTGGCCTCAAGATTCCTTCGAGATTGTCGAAAATCTCTAAATCGGGCCTGTCTGCTAAGGTGTATTCTAGATGTGGATTCCTAGTTTACTAACGTGCCGCCGCACCGGACCGTTGACTACACTTGCGAATTGGCAGAAAGTTCCGGACTTTCATTGCTGACACCAGTTGAGTTATTAACGAAACCATTGATTCTATTCACAGCGAATGTCAATTTCCACTTCAGTAACATACCGTATCAGCAAATTGATGAGGTGGGGGCTATGAGCAGGTCGCTGGGTCCCATACAAACGGATTTTTTCATGCTAATGATAGGAAGGGGCTTATCCAAAGAAATAACGCAGTTACCCTTTTACAAATGTTACGTGGATGATGTCTTGGCGTTTTGTTAAACAGAAATGCAGAGCACACAGCTAATAACGCGTGTTAATTCCTTGCATTTAAACTTGAGGGATTTTGCGCAGGTAAACAACAGAACTGTCTTCCGTATTTATGTGTTCTCATCAACCGCAAGGCAAACAGACAGCCAAACTAGTCGGGCTATAGAAAAGCAACGTCGTCCGGCAAATATCTGCATTTCACCAGCTTCACGCCAATACGGTGAAGCGCACGTTTGTGAAGACGAATACGTTCGCTGATGAACTAGTATTGCTTACTAACACGATAAGTGCAAATGGATAGTCTCCGAAACTCATCCAGCCACACCCGTGAAGTGTGAGTTGTGTTACCTACCGCAGCTAAGAAAGAGGTATACTTGGAGCTGCCGCATAAGATTCACATTGATACTTTGAGAAATGCAAGACCTCGGATTCCTTCCACAAAGAGCACTTTTTTGCGCTGCGGATTTTGCAGTCACCGACCGAACTCATAAGCTTCTGCAGCCTCCACGGAGAGAAACTCAGCTTATCCGGACCAACTCCCATTGTGGATACCAATTCGTATGTAACTGGTTGGCTG